TCTCTCTCTCTCTCATAAAAAAAAAGAACTCAAAAGGATAAATACAAATAGAAAGGTATAACACAATTTCAAAGAAAGCAAGAACTTGAGGACTAGAAAATGAAGACAGCAAGGACAAGAGATAGGAAACATGACAGAGGCAAAGCCAAACAGTTATATGTACAAGATGGGTAAGGCAATGATCCTGAGAATCTTCAGAAGATTTTTTAATCTAGCAGTTTATTGGAAAGATTCTCACCCTCACTAAATATATATGCTAACACTTGTGAACTAAGCAACTGCACTGAAGATGGCAATTTGTAATAGTATTTTCATGCTTGGACTGCCTGTCATTCTGGTCTTCTGAATACGGGCTGCTTGTCATGGCATGCCAGTTGCTGCTGTGCTGTCTCTCAGGTAGAAGTTTGTTTAAAAAGGCAGTGGTGAATGAAGGCAAGAGACAGGAAAAGGAGTGTTACAGGACTGTCCTGCTACAATGCAGTATATGGTTAGATTTCTAAACTTATATGTAAGTATATATTATTGTTTATTCTTATTTTCAATGTATTATAATTTTTAAATGTTTTTTCATCATATTCAGTAGGGATTTGAAGTTTAACATCAATACTTGATGAAAAATAGCTGTTCCATTTTATGTCTAAGATGTTTGATATTCAGACAGATAGTGAGGTTAAGCTCAACATCCTACGTTGCAAGGTAATAACAATAAACTTCTCTTCTGGAGGGTTAACAGCCTAAGTTTGCAGACTAAAATTAGAGAAAAAGGAGGGCCACAAAGACAGTCAACTGACCTTCGCCATAACCTTCTAAGGTCAAATAAAACTCAGGACATATGGGAACCTGTACTGTAACATCATGTAACTCAGTAGTGTCCAAATCTTCTGATCAAGGAGACTATGGGGCCAAAGAGAAAAGTGATTAATGATGTAGAGTGTGCCTAAAGAGAGTCACATGAAGAGAAAACATTTTCTTGGGCTTTCACAGAAAGCAAATTGGTCAAGCAATGTCCATGACTCATCCACATGGCTGACACTGACAAAGGATCTGCAAACTGTGGTACAGGGTTTCAGGATAAATCCTGAGGGGATTTGACTGACTTTATCAGATCCAAAATCTATAATTTTTGTTACATAGGTCTTGCTTTATCTTGCTTTTAGCCATCCAGCAGAAAAGTATAAAAATGAGGTATAAAAAGTAAAGCCATCTTAATATTCTGTGCTGTAAAAGGCTCAAGTCAACAACTTCTGACATTGCCAGTCTTACAGAAAACCCACAACTATTATGGATTACTGGACTCTACAGGAATATTTTGCTGGACTCACACAGCTACAATATTTTAATTACAATGGAATACCCTTCTCTGACAAAACTAAACAAAAAAGTGGATACAAGTGAATGACCATTTTGTACCTGTATATTCAAAATAGGATAGATATACCGCTGCAATCTCTTAATTGAATGAATAGAGAGATTTATCCTAATAGTGTTTGTGAACTGAGATGTTTTCTATATGTGGATAGCTATAGCCTCTCAGACCCTAAGAAAAGTACTAGAGACCAGTGCTTCTGATTGGTGTGTGCGTGTGCGTGTGTGTGTGTGTGTGTGTGTGTGTGTGTGTGTGTGTGTGTCTTTCGTCGTCTCTCCTGTGCCTGGGGAGATACAGGTCAAGTACGAAGCTAACTTTGTCAACACTTTGGACAGCAGTTCCCTAATGCCACATGATGACTTGGAAACCTCACGTTAGATCTTCCTCAGTGCAAGCCAGAGAAATTGCAGGATGGGAAATAATACGGTTCCCAGTTGGTCCCACTCCTCTTCCTGAATTTTTGGGGTTTGCTTGTCCTAGCCTAGGACCCAAACTTCCACTGCCTGGGTTTCTAAAGGGGAAGGCTAGTGATGCTCACACCCAGTGACTCAGAGAGGGGCACATCTGGGGAAGGGAGGGGAGGGGTGGAGTTTAACTGGTATATAAGAAAACCATCTGTGAGGTGGGGAATTTGATGGCTAGATGGCAGCAGTGTCCTTAAGGATGGCAGGGTAGAGGTGGAGCTGCAGCCTCCATGCTCCAGGCACATGGCAGGGATGGGTCACCAGGAATCAGATGGCATTTACATCTTAGTTATGAACAGGAAGCTGCCAGAACTGGGAGGATGGGATGTTTTCTCAGGTGTCAGGGCCATCAAGGCCATGCTCAGGGCCATGGAATCCACTTGAAAGCAGGTTATGACTGTAGACATTGTGCTGAGCTGCGGCCTACAAGCCCCTCTCCCTGAGGGCACACTGGGTTCTGTCATCTGCATGGTCATCCAGGCCATGGAGCAAAGGAAAGGAGCATGCCTGCCTGGGGAAAAGGAATGGAGACGTGGAGGCCTGCAGCATGAGTTTATTGATTACCTATAGTGGCTTGACAAGCACAGTGGGTTTTGGGGCGCTGAGGTAGGCAGCACTGCAATGTAAGAAGAGTCTGCTGGCTTGCTTATGGGCATTTTCAGTATTCCATTGCCAGAGGGCATCTTGGACAGGTGTGAGAGGAAGAACAGGGACAGAGAGACAGGAGCTACCTGAAAGTGAACAACACAAACGTGGCTGGGTTTCAGGATGAAAGATATAGAAGAAACTGAAACCTGAAACCACCAGGCCTCCATTCCCAGACTCCCACCGATCCCACCCAGCCATACTCACTGTCTGGTCAGGATTCATCGATGCATTTTTCTGGGGGGAGAAAGAACATCAGTACACAGCCCCCTGCCTTGGCTGGGCCACTTGAATGTAAACACTTCTCTCACATCAGAAATGGGCAAGCCCCAGGGGACAGGAGAGAGGCCCAGTCAGTGAGAAGCAAAGAATGGAGAGGAGTGGCCCATTGAGGGCAGGGAAACTGGGGAAACTTGGACCTGGGGCTGAGACTATCACCTATGCCAGCATTGGCTAACAGGCAGGGGCAGCACACACAATGACTGGGTCCCTAGGGATCATCAGGCTCCCCTGAAGCAGTCAGCACCTCTCTAGTGAGAGGAGCAGAAGACTCAGAGTCTCTGTCTGGTCCCCCTCATCAGCAGCATCAGGACTGCACAGTTCCCACATCCCAGTCACCTCTCCCTAGAGTCTATTACCAATAGGGATGAAGAAGACCATGTTGTCTTCAGTGAAGCCAAGGTTCTGGGCAATGTAGATAAAGCTCTCCTTCATTAGCAGCCTCTGCTTCTTGGTTCTCCCTGTAGCCGAGATGAGCAGTGAATGGAGAAGAGAAAGTCACTCCATGTTTTCAAATTATCATAGACAGGGTCAGAATCATAATCCTCTTGCCTCTGCCTCCCAACCTCCCAATACTGAAATAACAAAGGGCAACATAACTGGTTGACAGCAAAACTATATTTGGATTTTTTTTTCTGTATCTTTTGGGTAGGTCTAGAGGATATTCAGGGTCTCACTACTATATCAGAGTCCTAGTGATTCTCCTGTTCACAGCTTCCCAAGAGCTGGGATTACAGGCACACACCACCACACCCAGTCTCAATTGCCATCTGAGCATGCCCTGTGGACAAGGCCGGCATGAGACGCCCAGGGATAGAACCCCCAGCTCTACACTTCTTTGCAAGCAGTTAATACACTGAGCTATTTGGCCGGTGCTCAAAACTATATTTGAAGGAGAGTGGGTCTCAGAGACCTCTCCCATGGGAGGTGAAATGTGAAATGACTTCCTCTCCATATTGGGCTTGGACTAGAGAAGAATTTGGGTCTTAGATAGCAGGGGCACTGTCCTCTATTGTAACTAGGAATCAGGTCCCTGAAGAATGGAGTCAGAACACACCATAGAGCATGAGGTGGATGTACTCCTTGTCATGGAACTCCTTCCCAAAAACCATTAGAGCGTACTCATTGGAGTTGGTGGATAACACAGTCATGGTATAACTCTGTAGTCCATGAGATCCTGTAGGGTTCACAGCCATCAGTCATTCCTGTCCTTCCTGGAAGTAAGGAACTGAACCCCTACCCCTCTGCCATGTAGCAGAAGCTCTGCCCACAGGACAACATCTCTGAAGTGGGCAGGGAAGCCAGTTTCTTTGGAGAGGTCTGTGACTTCAGAATTCTCACACCAAGGCCCCACTCTCAGGACTCACGACTTGGGTATTTGAGGATGAAAATCCTGGGATACTGAGTTGGAGAGAATTTCCTGATCCAGCGATCACACTCCTGGTAAGATCCATCAACCATGATTGGTTTGGAAAATACATTTGGTAAAAATAGCCTGTGAGAGGAGACAGAGAGGTGGCTGAGCAGGGAGGTGACACACACTTGGTCCTACTAAGAGGCTCTGTGCAGGACCAGAGCACAGGAGGATCCTGATCCCTCAGTATAGCCCAGCCCAGACCACTTGACACTCTCTAGAGCAGAACCCCCTAGAAGACATCCCTATAGCCCTAGGCCTTCTACCTGGGGCCTCTGCCTGCTCCTCTGCACTCAGCCTTCTTTCTGAGCCCTCCAGCACTCACTGTCTCCTGTGCTACCTCGCCAGGCAGCCTGTCCCACACACAGGCTGGGGGCGCTGATCCCTGCTCTTATCCTGAGGCTCCTCTTTCCCATGGTTCCTTGCAATTTCCTGTCAGCTTCAGGTCTGCTCTATGCTAAGGAACAGCCTGACCTCTTTCCTGAGTCCAAAACAACCCTGCCTCCCAGAGACAAGCCCACCAGGTCTGCCTTTCTGATACCTTTGAACTTCTAAAGCTCCAACTCTAAAACACACAATGGCCATAGCCAGAACCCCTTACAGCTGGGAGAGCCTGGGCTCAACTCCTGTGAGTTCTCCGCTGACCCACCTCTTCCACCTCCCAGCTGGTGTTACCTTTACAGTTGTGCCCACATTCCCTGCAGTAGCTGTTCCCAGATGTGGCCCTAGTAGGACCAAAGACCATCTGTATTGAAGGTGCTCAGATGCTAGCCTGGGAGTGCCCCCTTCAAGCTGCTCATCAGCCCCTGCTCAGGTGGCCGGCCTCACTGAAGGCTCAAGCCTCCTGGTTCCTGAGCTGAGGCCCTCTGACAGCCCTGTGATGTCATCTCTTTGGGGGGTTGCTGGTGGTGATGGAGCCCTGGCCATGGCGGTGACATGCATCCCTGTCCTGTTTTCATTTCTCATTTTAGAGTATCTCTGCTTGGTGCTCAGGCTAACTTCTCTTTTCTATCCTCCCATTTGAGCCTCTGGAAAGTCCAGGATGGCAGGCAACACAACAGTGTTAAGATCACTTCCTACCAGGCCCTTTTCTCTGGCATTGGTTGGCATGCCAGGGGGCATTCAGTGTGCCCTTGTCGCTCTGACGCGCTTGTCTATGCTGTGCTTTCACCTGACTATATCTGTGCTAAAACCACACATGAAAATTGATAGAAGTAGGGAAGGAAAGCAAAGAGGGAAAGGAGAAAGAAGGGAGAGGCTGCAGTGTTGGAGTCCATGCAGAGCGGTGAGATAAAGACAGCATCCCTCAGCCTTGAGCACCTTTGGTTGACACCGTCCTGTTTCTTGGGCCTTAAGGAAGTTGCAAATTCACCTGTACATGATGGTGGTGAACAGGTAGCCATGGTCGTCTGTCACGTTGAAGAAGACACTGTGCATGTTAATCTTCTTTTTTGCTCCATTCTTAATTGCCACATCTGCCATGGCTAGAGCGTACCACTTACCCAGCACCTGCAAGAGACTGATGACTGAGAACGTGCAAGCATGGTTCCCGCAGTCGACCCCTCCATACTGTCCCTGCTGCTCCTTCCGGGCCATCCTCTGGGCAGCAGAAACTGGGTGTTACCTTCACCTGAGACACCTCTAGGCACTAGACTCCTCCAGGACAAGGGGGAATCTGGGTGAGGACCCAGCCCTGAGTTGTCAGGGATGAGGTCACCCAGCACAAGTGCCTTGTGTGTGTTGCAAAACCTCAGCTTTCTTGTCTGTGGGGAAGGACAGAAGACGTCCCCACCCTCATGGCATGGGTCCTGGATACCCCACTCTGCTCTTCATGTACTTCCTTGCCCTGGGCGTGACCCAACCTCTCCTCCCACTGCTCCCACTGGCCTTGTCCTCCAACCATCATGGTCTCTGCAGTTCCACAGACTTTACCCAGGAATAGTTGAAGTTCGGCTGTACGAAAAATGTTTGCAGTAATGACTCTGCCTCAGCAGTCTGATAGAAATCCTGGTCCTGTGACTGCACAGTTTCTAGCAGGAAGAGGAACAGAAACAGGAGAGCCAGAGCCATGGCTTCAGAGCAGGGCTGACCCAGCAGGGACTGCAGGAGTAAAGAGAAGGCTAAGATCAAACCAAAAAGGAGGCAATTATAGGGTGGCTGACGGTTGCCAACCTTGAGAAACACGTCACAACATTTTTCTCTTTCCTCTCTTCTCAAAATTGTGCAAAGAGGAGATAAGTGAAGAGGGCTGGGGACATGAGGGACATTCCCAGAGCACCAGGGTCGTGCAGGCACAAGGTCTCCCTGGGGCTTATTGTTGTGTCTCTTCTGTGCATTCCATTGGCTCTGTCAGGCAGAAGCTCGGGTTCTTAGAAGATGTGACCTTTAAATCTGTCCCGCATGTTGGTTGGATGACAAGGCCCTTTCCCATATTTTAAGATAGCACAGAATGTGCGGGGCATGGTGGACATGGTGGCACATGCATGCCGTCCAGCACTCTGGAGGGTGGGGAGGAGGGTCACCAAAACTGAACGCCATCCTGGGCTACACAGAGAACTCAGAGACAGCCTGAGCCCATGTGAAGACCCTGTCTCAGAAGAGAAAGAAAGAAAGAATGTTCTCCTCCCCCATCTCCTGTGTACCATATTTGTTCTTGTGAAGGTCAGGGAAGGTTAGTGTGGCTGACCTGGGCCTGCTGGACAGGGAAGGACAGGACACTGTTTGAGCATGCAAATCCCAGGTGCTGGTCCTCAGGGATTCACAAGCCAGGCCCTCAGCAGCAGGACAAGTCTGAGTCCCTCTCCCCCTCCTCATCACCAAGGCACGTGCAGGAACAAAAAAAGTGATCAATGATGGTTGTCACATTGCCCTCTCCTGTGAGCTCAGCAGAGTCACACAGCCCACCTCAGGGGCCATCAGTGTGCAGAGGCTCTGGGCACAGCTCCCTGCAGAGCCCAGGAAGTGGGCAAGCTGAGCTGCACTGCGCTGTGCACACCAGGTGTTGTGGGTCATTTTTAGCAGGGTTTGATCTTGTCCTTGAGAGGTCATTCAGGTCCTCCTTCTGTCTCTAACCACAGCCCTGGGTCACGAATCCCTGATGCTGAAGGCTGGGGTCTCAAGACTGTCCTCAAACAGCTGATGCCACAGTTGTCCCAGAATAATGGCAGACTGTGTCCTTACTGCGGTCCTGGAAAAAATCCTTGGAAAGCAGTGTTACCCTGAGGCCTGAAGCACTGTGCCCCTGAGATGGTCCGTGCATGAGGACATAAATATCTTGGATAGATGAGCTGTGGTTTGACAGGGGTTCTCTGCCTTAGGACTGGACTGCAGGGGCCATCGGCAGCCCTATTCACCTGCTGAGAGGGTTCAACATGGGCTCTTGTGGGAGACAGTGAAAGTAAGGACTTCAGATGGAGCACTGGGCTCATATGACACTTACAGCCTCAGCACCCCGCCCTGTCAGCCCTCCCTACACCCCACTACCTGGGCTGGATGTTGAGGAGGCAGGAAGTGAAGCCTAACTAAGCTCTGGCCCCAGAGCCTGCCACCCTCCCAGCTACCCCATCCTCTCCCAGCAGTAGGGCTCCACCTCTGCTGCTCTCTATGAGCTAGAAATGTACCTTCAACCAGCAAAGTACCGCCACCTGTGCACTCTGGGAGGCCTCTGTAGAGTTTTACAATGTTTATTTCAGCCAGTCATCATGTTGTCTGCCAAGGGAGGTAAAGAGGATGGAGAGACGGCAGTAGGCTGTGCTGTCCACCAGGAAATCCAGACAAGAGACCCTCAGTCTTCCCTTCCAGGCACTAGAGTAGGGGTTCCTCCTCTCATGGTGTCCTGTCCTCCTCTGCTCCCCATCACATCTTTCTGAATGCAGTCTCAATGACATTATCAAGGTTAGTCCTCCTTACTCCTGTCACACTGCCCTGGGCCAACTCACCTCCATTCTGTGGGCCTTGGTGTCCTGAGCCATCTCCCCATCTGCTGGCTCTCTCTCACTCCTGATGTGGGTGATGTCCTTCCATTCAACAGACCTGGCCTAGGCAGGGGACTTTTCTAGAGGCCCAGGGTGTGGAGATTCCATATTGTAAAAGGAGGCCTTGGTGCTGGCCAACTTTGAGCTCCAGACACTCCGGGCAGCTGATCCCTAGGCCTTGAATTCAGGGAACTCCCATATGCTGTGCACTGGAACAGGTGGACATGAGGCATCCAGGGGTGTGGCAGGGGCTCTGACAGCCAGGAATAGCACACACATGTGTGCACACATGCACACAAACACACTCCACTCTTCTGATGTTCTTTTGTTAATATTAACTTTATTGAGAAAGAAATGACATTGAGTCAGTTTCAAAACACGTTAGTAGGACAGTTACAATAATTAATACATTACATACTGTTGTCTTCATAGCAGTTATTCATAGTACAAGATGCAGGCATGATATCTTGTCTAAACACTATTAGTACAAATCATTCTTCTCATTGAACTAAGAGAAAGTAGCTATACATCTATCCTATTTTGTATATATAGATATATATTTTTTCACTACTAAACAGTCCTTCATTTATAGCTGCCTTTCTTTTACTTTTGTCAGAGATGGGTATTCCATTGCCATTCAAATATTGTAGGTGCTTAAATTCAGCAAAGTAATCCAATGTAGTCGAGTAGTCCATAATAATAGTGGGTTATCTGCATGGTTGACAATATCAGAAGTTGTTGACCTAACATTCACAACTCAGCATATTAATATAGATTTACTTTTTATACCTCATTTTTATACTTTTCTACTGTATGGTTAACACCAAGATAAAGCAAGACCTCTATAACAAAAAATATAACTTTTGTTGAACTGCTATAATTTAAATGAACAATCTTATTAATGTATTTTCATATAATATGATTAGTTATTTATCTTTTATTTTTTCAAATTTACTTCAATGATGTCTCTTGGGTAGATGATTGTTCAAAAAGAAGGGGGTGGTGAATGAAGGCAAGAGACAGAAAAAGGAATGTTGTGACTGTCCTGCTTCAAGGTTGTATATGGTGAGATTTTTGGACTTATGTGTAAACATAAGAATTATATAATTGTTTATGGCTATT